GGCACCTTTCTGGTGGCCTCTCTGAAGATTACACGAGAAGTGTTGTTGAGGCAGTGGTGGGTAAAGCTTAGCAGATTTGCTTAAATCTTAGAAGATTGCTTTCATGGATTTCACTACGGCTGATGTAATAGGGCAGTGGGGGACGAGGAGAAGTGGCTGCACTGCCCCAATCTTTTACCAGTAAAAATCCACCACTTCTTATGCAGTGGATTTGAACCACTTGAGGGCATAGAAAGCTGAAGAACCACAAATGAGTCTTCCCAGTCCTGGATGAGGCCCTTTAGGGCTAACCCTGGGAGAGAATTGATGAGAATTCCTGAGGATTCTCTGGTGCCAGTTCAAAGCCAGTAGATTTTGTTTAGTCCAGATACACCTTTGTCCTTACAGAGAACCTGTATTTTCTCTCCTTTTGATTGTTGGGTAATTGGGTACAGTGTAAAAGCAATGTGCACGATTCCCTAAGCATTTAGAAAAACAGTTGAAGAACATTGCATATCTGATGGAAGTTACATTCTCATTTTGAAATGTCATTGTCCATGGATGTTGAAATTGAAATGTCATTGTCCATGGATGTTTCAATAACTTCAATAACACCTAGGGACAACAAACAAGGTTGGGGCACTGTTTGCCCCAGTCTAGTCACTGCTTCAGAAAACTTAGTGGTATAAGTATAATATTAAATTAATTCTGAATACCTTTCAGCTATTTTGAAAACTGACTTCAATCTCTTGTCTCCCTACAGATCTAGAAATTGTTGGCTTTGTAGATATAGCTGACATTTCTAGCCCTCCTGTCTTATCCAGACACTTGGTGTTGCCCATTGCACTTAACCGAGGTGAGCAACTTGTTTCTGTAGCTAACACTGCTTTAAGCTTCCCCTCCAGCGGTCATGGTTTAGATTAGAAGCAGATGTTTTATGCTTCTTCTAAAGGTTGAATGTCTCTAAGGATGTATTTTTATAATTACATGAAAATGATAAAACTTGAACACAAGCTCTTAACTTTTTTTTTCCTAAGTAATGTTTTCTTTGAAAAGTTCATTCGTACAGAGAACAGTGAAATAGTAAACAGTGTCCTCATAGCATCATTATTAAGACTGTGCTAAACTTAAAGCTAAAAATAGTTATATCCCATTATGTGTTGCAAGATGAATAATTAATGTCTGCTTTTCTTTTCCTTGTTGGAGTGATTGGTTGTTGTAAAAAATCTGGTATTAGTAACAACCAGATTGCTCAGTTTTACTTGAGCCTTAGTTGCTGCATATATGTATATACCTAAATAATTGCTAACAGGACTGTTGTGATTCAGCCTTATCCAGCTGCAGCCACTCACTGCCACCTCTGGGGCTGCCTTTTATTGCTCCCTCATGTGAGATTAGCTCCCCCTCTCCCATTTGATTGCTCACTGAAAACGAGTCGAGTTAGTTTAAACAAATGAAGCAGGGGGTCTATGTTAACCTGGCTCATTTTGTTGGACCTGGATTAGGGAGTGATTCTACAAAGAGCTCAGTGAACAGATCAGAGGAGACCTGCAGCCAGGTGGCTGGGAGAGAGAAGTCTCTTCAGCCCTTGCTGCTGTGAGAAAAGCTGGTGCTTGTGTTCAGAACGTATAATAAAATATTTAAAATACCACAAGCTCTCACATCTAGAGCCTGTCCTGAAGAAAGGAAAACAGAAAAGCATGGAAAAAAAAAAAGAGTTATTTGGCAGAGTGTTGTTTTGTGTTGGAACTCTTGCATTGCAGAAGACACGGGGTGCTAAGTGCTGATGGAAATAGAAATCGTACGTCTGAGTTTAGTCCCATGTTACTCCTTTGTGTTTTATTCTCTTCTGCAGAGGGTGATGAGGTGGGACCTGGAATAACAGATGACACTGAAGATGAAAATTCAGCTAATCAGATTGCTGGGAAAATCCCCAACTTTTGTGTTCTGTTACACGGGAGCCTGAAAGTGGAGGGCATGGTGGCTGTTGTCCAGTTGGGGTATGGATACCTGCTTGGAAAAATCCCTTTTCTTTTGCTGATTCAAGCTTTGCTTTGTACAGAGTTCTGCATTGCTGGGCTAAGTGTGGGGTTTTAGTATGTGGATATGTATCTCCCAAGTATAGACTGAAAATAATGAAAACAAGAGCCTCCACAGAGTGTGAGGAAGGCAAATTCTATGCAAAAAAAAAGAGAGTGGACAATTTTCAGCCTTTGTAATATGCTCTTTTCACTAGGCCGGAGTGGTATGGAATGCTGTATTCACAAGCTGATAGTAAGAAGAAATCAAACCTCATGATGTCACTCTTTGAACCTGGTCCTGAGCCCCTTCCATGGCTGGGGAAGATGGCACAACTTGGACCTATCTCAGGTACTAGCTGCACCCATTGGAGGGCCTGTTGTGCATTCACTTGCATGAATGACCCTGCCAAATCTTATTTACTAATTTTCTTTTCCACACCCTTCCTAGATGCAAAAGAAAATCCTTATGGAGAGGATGACAATAAGAGCCCTTTCCCCTTGCAACCCAAAAACAAGCGCAGTTATGCACAGAATGTTACTGTATGGATTAAACCAAGTGGCCTCCAGGTAATGACACAGGCTTTGAACTTGATGCTTTCCTTGCTCAGCAGTATCTGTCTCGCCAGTGAAGTGGAGCCTGTGTCTTGTCCATTTAATGTAATTGTTTTTATTTTTATAAATGCTGCCTCTTAAAGTGCCATGATTAAAATGCAATCAGAAAGCATAGTTTATCTAATGAAAGCTGTGTCTCTAGTGTAGCATACGGCTTAGTTTATTGGATTTGGTGTAATTACCCTTTTATGTTTTAGCCTCCGTGAGCTGCAGTCATGTCAATGATGAGGATTACTTATCAATAATAGTTGAGGATTCTTTTCTGCAGCGTCTCTAACAGTAACCATTATCTTTTTTTTTTTTTCCTGCAGACAGATGTACAGAAGATCTTGAGGAATGCAAGGAAGCTCCCTGAGAAGACTCAAACGTTCTATAAAGTAAGATGTTACAGGCTAGTGCAAGTTTAATCTATGATGACAGTGGCGCATCTGAGAGAGCACCATATACTGCCTGTTTCTGTAGGATGTGCTATGCTTGTGTAGGATGTGCTGTGCTGGGCTTCCCGTGCTTTGCAAAAGCACATCTTGTCCTGTAAGGAAGGAGGCACCCAAATGTCCATCTTACAGACTGGTTCATTTGAGGCAGAGCGTCTGGTTTCCCAACCAGAAATTTATCTTTCCAGGCAGAAATCAACTGAGGGATCAGATCAGAATGAGGACATAGCCACAAACGTTGTTTTGATTTTGACACAAACATAGTCACAAAGTTTGAGTCACAAATGTTGCACTGAAAATGTCTCCTACTTTTTTCCTACCAGCAAAGCAGAGAAACACAAAATTCTAGGCACATTTAACCACATCATTACACTCCATAATCTAGACTGTAGTTGGAGGCAATTGTTCCTCTTGTAAGCTTAGGACTAACTCGGTTTATTACTGTAACTCTTAAGAGACTTCAAGAATGTATATGATGTCTAAATGCACACAGATCACTGTCGTTAAGTAAATTCATAACGAAGAAATAATATTATATAGACTTTGCTGGACACTGTGGTTAAAGTTAGCAGTCAATAATGTCCATGTTGGAGGCTGCCTCCAGTTGGGACACAGGCAGGACTGGCAGGTGCAGAGTTAAATGCAGAAAAGGGAGAATTAGAGGGTCTCCGGGAAGGGAGCAAGGGAAAATCAGCACTGCTTACCTGTGTCACTGTAATGTTTCTATATTGAAATTTCACCGTGACTTTAAAAGGTGTTTTCCTTCCTTGCAGGAGCTTAACCGCTTACGAAAGGCAGCTCTGGCCTTTGGCTTTTTGGACCTGCTGAAAGGGGTGGCAGACATGCTGGAGCGGGAGTGCACCCTGCTCCCTGACACGGCGCATCCCGACGCGGCCTTTCAGCTCACACATGCTGCTCAGCAGCTCAAAGTGGCAAGTACTGGTGCCTCAGAGTATGCAGCCTATGATCACAACATTGCTCCGCTGCAAACGGACTTTTCCGGTAGCAGCACTGAAAGACTCTGAGGGCTCCATATGGGGGAATGTCCATTAATGAAGACACGAGCGGTTCAAATTGTCTTGTCCTCTTATTTTCTGGGACCTGTTTAATTACTGTTTGGAAACCTTCCTATGCAAACAAGGCCCATTGTTTGCATCAGTGCTCTCATAGCTGATTTGTGGTGGCTTTAGTCAGCTCTGGAAAACACGTTTTTTAAGTGTCCCACTGTCAAATATGGTGCTGGATAATGGGAGGGAGTCTTCTAGTACATGTTAGGAAAGAGAAAGAAAACACTGCTTGTGGCTTTTGGCCTCTCTAAAACATAGCAGTGAAATGACTGAACTCACTGGCAAGTGTCTAAAAAGGCAGCTACTACTATTTTACACATGGATTTGAATTGTCCAAAGAATGTGTGAGAATCACTGTGCAAAATCAGATACATGGATAATTTCAGGGTCTCATCATTAATTTCATGCCTGACTTGAAAGCAAGTCTGTATTGTAGTAGGAAACAGGAGCACTCACAGTGCAGTGCTTGTACTTGTGGAAGTAATTTAATCTTTTGAGAAGGCAGTCTTTTTAATTTGTGTAATATTAATAAAGAGTAATTCTTTAGGAATACCTAGTTGTTTTCATTTCATTTTCATGGCAACTTGGCTAGGAGCCTGCTTAATGTCACAGGTCTAAAACTTTAGCCAGGGAAGGCTGAGTCTAAGCAGTCTGACAGCTGAGCTGTTCTTTCCCTTTGTAGAGGAAGTTCTATGAACAACTGAAGTGAAACAAACTTTGGTTGTAAATCTTTATTAATAGAAACACATTCTTTCTGAAGGACTAATGAACTCAGTAGTGTAAGATCCATGACAGCTCACACCAGGTACCACAGTTTCACTGAGAAGTATCATGTATGAGTACATATGCATTTTATAACAGAAGTTTAAATGCCCAGTGGAGAGATTGAAGTATAAAAGTGATCCTTGCTGTTCCACTGCTCAACCATTGGGTCCCTAGACACACTTCAAACATACCAAAGTACAGTGTACGCTGTGGTGCAAGAGTCAGTAATGCCCAGCTCTTCTGAGTGAACCTATCTGCAGTCTCCTTTGAGCCTAAGCCCTTGAGTGAGATCTCTGAAAAGCAAATTCCTCGTGCCACTGGTTGACAGAAAAGCAGTGGTGAAAGACAGCCTGGAGTTCATACCCATTCTGTGTTTAAAAAATCTCCTTATAAACATAATCCCTCTCTTCAGAGTGGCAAGGGGCCTGGGGCCAGGTCACACACAGTGAGCTCTTCGTTACTTTTAGGCATTGAAGATAATTTTCTGTAGGATTCACATTGTTTTACAGTAGTAAAAAAAGAAAGTAACTTGGACAGAAAAATGGCACTAAGCTAATCTCAACTCGAGTGCCTGTTCTGGATTGCTGGCATTGCAGGAGCAGTCAGGATGCAGCCTGTTCTACTGCAACAGTGTTTTAGAATAAGCTTATTGTACTTGTGCTGAAGTGGGTTGAGGAGGCCAGGGGGCTCTGGAATCAAGTTTGGGAAGTGAGGTGTGAGGAAGCACGTCCTGAACCAAAGTCAACTGAAACAAATGTTTCCATATGAAAGAAGGGATGACCTAGAATTTGTCTTGTATTTTCCCATCGTTTAAAGCAAACAGAGGAGAAAAAAGATACCTTCAAGCCCTATGTGGGATCTCCTTTGTTAAACTTTGGTACAAATTTTATCAAAATAATCCATGGCTTATTAGAACCACCGCCCTGTTCATCAGGGGCTGTCTAACAAAGCATACGTGCCAATTTCTCAGCTTCACTCCTAAATTTAGGAAGAATGAAAACAATCCCCGCTGCCTTTCATAAGGCTGTAACTGCAGGAGCTGCAGCCCTAGCAGGAAGGAGCAGTGGCGACCACTCTCCAGGAGCAGTTCCAGGTTGTGCCTCTCCCAGCCCCGTGAGATGTTTCTCCCTCCGCATCCCTGGATGGAGTTCGCCTGGGGTTTGCATGCTCAGAGTAAGCTCATAACCCATGGTTCTTGTTTTACTCTATTTCAGTGCTTGCCTTAGCAATGAGGGAAGCATTTCTGGCCCCGTGACAGGCTGGCAGTTTCCTTCCTCTGATGCCTGGGGACAGTTGTTGCGGGGGACCCCATCGTGCTCCTACTCTGTTAAGACTAAACTAGAAACAGAGCAAGCTGGTAGCATCTAATCTGACATCACTAGTTCCAGTTTTAAACTGAACAGCAGCAGCATGCTCCCATAAAGAAGGGAAGGGGGCACAGCTTATTTACCTCAACCATCAGTAAATACTCAAATACTGTTCCTCGTGGTCTCAGGCTGTTCCTCCTGCCATCGAAATGGCACCCTGGGGACAGTGTGGGACACCATCTCCCACCTCAGAAGCCCTATCTGCATGCAATATCGAAGAGCAAATATCCAATCCAATCCAAAGATAAACAGTACTTCTACTTAGTGCTGTTCCACTGTTTATAAGCATATCATATGCAGATAATAGGATTTCTTTCTAATATGGTACTGATGGGACACAAGTTTAAATGTTTCTGCTCATGATAAATGCCATGCATATATATGATTGAAACAGAAGAAAAGACAGTATCTGGGGATGTTACCCGAATTCACTATGAAATCTAATATGATTTAACTTTACAAAATTCTTTACATTGCAGTGGATAAAACCGTAAGAATTAGAGGCTTATCTTATCACTGAGATAAGTTAGGTGAGGAGCAGTGCAGTCCTCCTTTACTTCATCTTCCTCTTCTTTGGTCCAAGGTGCTTTCTCCTCTGCTTGTAGAGATGCCGGAAGTTTATGAATAGCCCTGAAAAAGAATGGAGTTTTTTAGGCAGGATGTTATTGCATTTTATTAATGTCAGTTGGAGGTTTTTGAAGGCAAGACGTCATTGCATCTTATTAATGCTAGATGGCTGTACCAGATTAAAGTTCAGGCAAGACAGAGGGCAAGCAATAGCAACCCCCTCCCTCCTACAGCATTTAAGGTACGCAGAGCTTGGGAAACTATTGCTATTTTTTTTTCTTGCTGATATTGTTGGCTGGTACCGTGTTTGGGCCCGCAGGGCTGCTCACAAGGTTGCCTGAACACCCTGAGTTGCAACACCAGCTGTGCAGAGATGGAAAAGGACCAAACAGGTGGTTCAGATTGAATCCTAAGGTATTGCTTAAGCAATTTATGTAACTGGTATGCATAGTAAAATGTTATCTTATGTTCAAAATACAAGAACCCAAATGTGAATCAATGAAGCAGCATTCCTCTTTAAAGGTACTACTATCTAAAAAGCCTCCTCTGTTGTTCCCTGGAAAAAACAAGTCTTCATCTTACATTAGTGCTTGTGATGTAGATCAGTTAAACATTACTTTAATTTGGAACTATATTTAGATTTCAGCTAAACCATTCTGAAGCTCAAATGCCATGTACAGGGGAAAACTAAGAATGCAGAGGCTATAAATATATTTAAACAATTGCTCTTTTATTCCAAGCAATCTGTAGGTAACGAAGCTAACTTGTTACTAAGGCCTCCTACTTAAGGGCTAACCAATTCTAATTCTAATTGCATTCTCCCCTACCTCTGGCAAATTTACATAAACAAGCTACAAGGATAAAGCCAGCTTAAGTCTGAGCAATTTTGTGTTACCATGATCCCTGAGACGCAGGAATTTAAATTGCTTAGGAAAAAAAAAAAGACATATTCAGAAGGAACTGGCCTTTTACTTCAATCGTGAGAAATACAATTGAATATCTTACCTAAAAATAAGGCTATAAGGTATACTTGAAGCAAGAATGAAAACTGGATCGTGACGTTCAGAGGATTTGGCATTGCCAGGCTGAATTTCCCCGTTTCACTGAAGATGGGAATCGACTGCACGATAGAGACAGCTGAAAACAGAAGGCCACCATGATTATAAACCACAGGTAAAATACACCCTTGTCCAACCCACGCCAGCTTTTTCAAGCTGTTCCCTTATGCTCTTGCAAACTATATTTATTACCTGCAAACTATTTATAAGCAGTTTTTTTAAACATGCAGTATGATGGGAAGCAGGCAGCACAGCAGGTTAGCTACAGAAACGTTCATCACAGTGAGCCTGCCCGCGTGCCCCCCGTTCCCATACCCCACTGTTCCTGCAGGGCCGGAGCCAGCAGGATCTCGTGTGGAGAAATACCCAGGGCAAGGAAAGTCGCAGCCTTTCCCATCCCTGGAGTTGGGCAATGCACAAGCCTACTGCTGCCTCAGAGACACGTTCCAACAGGCAGGAGTGAAACACGTTCCAGCACCTGGGAGCGAGGCAGGTACAGGCGTCTTTATTTTATTTTACTTTTTAAAAATCCTGACTTGTTAAGAGAGCTCAGTGTAAAATCGCCTCTTTTCTAGAGGGCAGCAAGGAGACTCAGGGCCTGCAGGCACTCTCCAGCAGAAGGGGAACAGAGCCCTGCCTGTCTCAGACCATCTTACTTCTGCTTTCAGAGGAATAATCTGCTCCGGCCTATCCCAATCAACCACTTACAAGATAAAGATCTGCAAGCAGCTGTGCACCTAAGCCTGGCTGCTTTTGTGCGCTAGACCTGATCTGGTCAAACACCTGGATCAGCAGAGAGAAGTGAACGGTGTCTCCTCAGGCACCCTGCATTGCGGGCAGCCCACGCTCAGTCACTTTTTGCTGCACCTCACTCATGTCAAACTGAAAAGTTTCAGTCAGCAAGAAAAACAAAACTGATAAAAATATTTGCCTGGCTTTAACCTCTCCAATTATTAAGCTTTCTTGGACGTACCTTCTGCCAAGGATCCTAATGGGTAGAGAGGGATCCAGGTGGTGTAACGGAGCCAGGTGAGTGGTTTCCATTCAATACCAATGCACGAAAGCATATAAAAGGGATACCTAGAGTCAATTCAGTTTGAGAAGGAAGAGACACTGTTAAAAATGGAGACTGCTACTAGAATTACTCTTTCATTTATCTGCTGTACAGACAAATCAATGTAATTCCCAAATTACACAATATTCAAAAACTTCCTAGGGACGACTGAAACATTTTTATTTGGGAGTTTACAGAACTAACATATTCTGACGATACATATTCTCTTCTTTAAAGACTTTTGGGGAAGGACCGAACTGTTCTGTGCAAATCTGTTAGTGGAAAATCCCACAAACCTGAACAGCTCAATGATACTCCAGAAATAAAACACGAAGAACACCACAGCTTTGCTCTGCATTTCTTCTAAGCTTCCAAGGACAACAAACAAAATAAAGTTTCTTCCAAATACCTGTTTAAAGACAAATTAAGGAGTAAATAGTCACACTGTTCACCAAAAGGAGCAAGTCCTTGCTGTCAAAAACATGCAGCACAAGCACTCTTCAGGCCTGAAACATCTCCTGAGCACGCATCTTGCACGCTTTGACCCTCTGGTACTTAGGTCCAAGCTAAGGGACCTAGTCATAAAGAGTCTTTTTTTTTTCAGGCACAACAATCAAAATAAAGAGGTAACTGGAACCAAATCAAAAACACAGTGTTTTCTTCAGCTGCCTCTTCCTTTTGTAGTCCTGGACTCTCAGGTAGGCAACGGAAGATGACAAGACGGCCTGTCACAATGAAGGCTGGAAAAGCAGGGATTGCCACTTCGGAAGCTATTCTTCAAGGCAGTGCCAGTGAGACGGTATCACTTGATTTAGAGGGCCCGCACACTGTTATGTAAAATGCAGATACACTTTTAACATGGAAAGAACAAGAAGAATCTCAAAAAATATTACCTGGATTACAGTAGGTAAGAGTGGTGACCTGACTAGTCCTATGAGTGAATTCATGATCTCCATTAATGCCAGGGTCTGACAGAAATACATCATGTCAGCGATCGTGTGAAATGTGTCGTAGAAGGAGTCTGCAAGACACGGGAAACCAGTTGAAGGGTAACTGAGTTTTAAAGCCCGGGACATTGCCTGAAAGGCTCAGGGCTTGATAACAGCTTCTCTTTGTATTTGAAACAAAAATATTACACGTAATTACACATATAGCTTTGTTACTGATTTTGTCTTGAAGTCATAGGTTAAAAGCACGGCTGAAACATTCTGCGTCACACACACAAGGATCAAAAACTATTTCAGTGATAACTTTATAAAAAAAAAGAATAAAAGATAGCTTTGTACCTCAAAAGAAGGAAGAGAAGTATCTTCAAAACCAAAATATTCTAGCCAGTATTTTTGATACTGCTACTACTAATGGCAGTAAATGACACGTTTTCTTCCAATTGATTTCCTTAAATGAAATCTTGGCAGAGTACAGCGAGTGCCATTCATGAGGATCTGCACTATCATTTACAAGAGGAGAATATTTTCCTATCCTTGAAGTTGTGATGAGTTTTGTGAGGCTTTTATTGTGTTTCAAGAAGCAACAATTGTGTTCAGAAGCAGGATTTACTGCTTCTTAAATACATCTTTAGATTTCACAGTCTAGAAAGTACTAAAAACAGCATGAAAAACAAAAGGGGAAAAAAAGTGAATAAACTTGTGCTTATTACTTACCTTTTCCTAAGATGAACAGTCGTACTGTCATGTTCACAAAAATCCAAGAGAATCCCAAAAACTGTACAAGATTATATACGACTAAGTATCCTTTCTTCAGGTGTTTGAAAGCTGCAATCAGTGATAAATACATGAGGTGAGTAGAAGATGGTGGTGCCCCTCCTGCAGAGCCTTGGCTCTATCCGTGTGGCCAACAAGGGAAACTGCGGGTTGCAATAAAAGGGCTGCTGTGTCTGTGGTGGGTTCTACTTGCTCCTAACATCCTTAAAGTTCCTTAGCAACTGCAGTTCAGCTTTATTAAATTTCTAAATAGTTCATTACACAAAAATTTCCCTCCAAGATGCACCGAGCCAGTCAAAATCAGCCCCAGGAGTTGGGATTTAAAGAGGAGAGGGATGGAAGTTTTTTAAGCCCCTTTTCACATGCTGGAAGGGTATGGTTACTTACGGTCTTTTGGGACTCTGGATTCTATTTTCATTTTGTTAATCTTTTCTTCTTCCTTAAGATGAGGGATAAGGTTTTAAAGAGTGTTACTGTAATTAGCAAGTGATTTGTTAACTATCCTGCTGCAAAGCTAGCGGGTTTAAAACTCAGATAAGCAGCCAGTTGCCTATTTCTTACCCAGAAACAACGGTACTATAAAAGCTAGAGGTTGCTAACTAATTATCCCACCTATTCTTTACTGTGCATTTTCCTCTAGAAACTTGGTGGGTCTGGTGATGAAGTCAGCTGCTTTCTCCGCTAATCCTCAATTACCACCGTTCCCTGGAATTGCTCTTTGAAACGCTTCCCACCAGTGGGCTGAGGGGGACCAAGACCACCCGGCCGAGCTCTCTGCCGCCCTTGGAGCGGCGCTTCCTGCTCCGCTTCCATGCACAAGCGCGGCCCGTGCGAGGCTTTTCCAAGGACATTTTCCACTTCCCCACTGTGCCGAGCTGCTGTAGCTGAGCACGCAGCAGAAACCTGGAGCCAGGCAGCATCCAAGGGCTCAGGACACAGCTCTATACGAGTCCATGTGGATACAGCATTAGAAACCCTGGCTTTCCCGGGATACTGGCACCTCTGGATCAGGGAGATGGATCGGGACACAGGGCGCACGGTGCAGAGTTCAGCACTGAACTCCAGCCCGGCACAGCTTGGATCACCAACTGCGGCTCTTTATAAACCAGAAATACGCCCGTTTCCCACTTGCTCCTTACAGGCGGAATCACTCGACCGCTTCCAGGCGGACACGGATGCAGCAGCGCTCACCTTCTCCCTGAGTTCCAGCTCAGCGTCCGACTCGTCCAGCCAGCGGTCGAAGTCCGGAGCCAGGAAGAGCGGGCGCTTCTCCTGCTTGGTGAGCCGCTCCCACCAGCCGCTCTCCTTCTTCTGCACCGTGATGTTCAGCTGCCTTTGAGTCACCTTGTACAGGGGCTGAGGGGGACACGGGAACCATCGTGAGCAGAAGCCCGGGGACACGAGCTGCTCCACAGCTATTCCAGTCGGCTGGAGGTGAAACTGTCATTTTTCCTCTAACTGGTGGTAGAAAGGTTAGCATGAAGGTTAGCATGAGGTCCAAGGACCTCATGTGGTGACTGCTGCAGTGGAAGGAAGCGCAAGAAGCGCTTGGAGAGGCTTGGGAAGCAGAGAGATGATGTTATCGGCTGGCAAACCTCACCCCTGGGCTGCTGGCCCTCAGGATCATCCTTCACCGCAGCCACCCACTGCAAAGCAGCAGCCTGGCCCCCTTTCTGGGGCATCCCGAGGAAACGGCCTCCTCCACGCTGCAGAAACAGGGCCGAACCTTTAAAGACACTGCAACCACTGTATAATATTGTGATAAATACAGCTTGCAGCTTTATTAAAGCTTAACTCTCATGAGCGTTAGCTCCAGTGGGGTGATTTGCATGGAAACGGGATGAAGGCCAAGCCCAGGGCTGAGGAACAGCCACAGGTGGCACCTAGTTCAGAGGATGCAGAGTCACCGGGGAAATACAGAACAGCCCATCGGGAACTGCAAGGCAAAGCCATTTGGCTTTCATACTTTTCCAAGAACTACAAAGAAAGAAAGTGAAAGACAGAAGAGGGGGAAAAAATACCTACTTTAGGCTCAACTGGCTCTAGGAAGTCAATCTGAAACTCATAGATGTTGTCCCCCTTGGCACCATGTCCCTGAGCTGAAAGACAAGAATTAGGTGTCAATGTGGGAGCGTGGTGGGTCCCTGGCCCCCCAGCTGCAGGGGACACGTAGAGGCAGGAACAACCCTTCAGCGTGGGCCCAACCTTGGCCCTACGGAAAAGCTCCTGCATGCGGGATGGCTCCAAAGCCCACCCACCAGCGGCACCTGCAGCCTTTTCCCCGGAGATGCCGTAAACCGAGCCGGGCTTTGAAACGAAACCCTATCGAGTGGCCTTGGCTGCGGCTCAGCGCAGAGTCGCTGTCTGTTAGACGCTGCATCTCCATTGAGAAAGGCGGCAGCCGAAACGGGGGCACAAGCGCAGCCAGCGCACGTCCCGCGAGGGCCACGGAGCTGCGGCCACGGCCCCGACAAAGCCCCTTTCAGGACACATCTGCTTTACCTTTCAAATGGAGCGCGCGCTGCCCATGCCCAGGGCTGATAGCGCTTGCAAACGAGGGCTCCGCAGCAGGAAGCTCCCATGTGGGTTATCTCCTGCGCGGCCACAGGGAAATTGCAGTGACATTTAAACACAGGGAGCGTTTGGGGCTTTTTCCTATAAGATAGGGCCACTTCCTGGGTGCCTTTGGGGCCTGTCCATGCACGCGCAGCCCACCCGCAGGAAAAGCCACCTGGAAGCAGCCGCCTACCTTTGAAATAAAGCACGTTGTCGGTAATGGTGATGTCCGGGTTCTGGGGGAGAAAAAGTGGGTTCGGGTGACACTTTGAGCGAACAGAGAAGGATCAGCCCGAAGCTTTGCCCAGATGCCAGAGACCCCTGGGGTGCCCACCCGGATCCGCCAGCACTTCCAATCTGCTGGCAAGGCGGGCTGTGCAGAGCCAGTGCCGGGCCGTCCGGCTCCGCGCTGGATCCGTGCTGCACCATGTGGACGGTGCCGCCCGGCCCCCGGGACGAGCCGAGGCCCCGCGGCCGCCCGGGATTCGGCTGCTCCCGCCGCAGCCCAAGGCGCGCGGGGCAGAGCCAGCACCCATGCCGGCAGCTCCGCGGCGCCCCGGCCTTGGGCAGGAGCGAAGCCCGAGGCCGGCGGCGCCAGCGACCGCGGGGAGGCCGGGCAGGCAGAGGCTGCTGCCCGCGCGACCCCGGAGCAAAGGCCGGGCCGAGAGCCGGCATGTGGGAGTGCATGGAATGGGCCTGGCTGGGGGCAACCACCCTGGCACCATCCATGCACCAGCCATAGGTGCAACTGCCTTGGCATCATCCATGCACCAAGATGGGTGCAAGTAGCACCATCCATGCACCAGGACCAGTGCAAGCACCCCAGCACCATCCATGGGTGCAAGCAGCACGATCCATGCACCGGGATGGGTGCAAGCACCCCAGCAACATCCACACCCTGGTAGGGTGCAAGCAGCACCATCCAGGGGTGCAAGCACCACGATCCATGCACTGGGATGGGTGCAAGCAGCACGATCCATGCACTGGGATGGGTGCAAGCACCCCAGCACCATCCAGAGGTGCAACCACCATGATCCATGCACCGGGATGGGTCCAGATGCACCTGCCCCGGGGGAGGCCCCCCACTGCCCACACACCCGCCCCCATCCCCCCCGGCCCCGCCAAGGCCCCGCGCTGGGGTCACCCCCTCCCAGCACCCCTACCCTCCCCACGCCCCGCGCAGCGCAGCCGCGGCGGTGCGGGCGCGCGGGGGGCTCCGCGGCGGCGGCCGCCGCTACCTGCACGTCGCTGAGCTCCACGCGCAGGTAGAGCTCGCCGTGCCGCTGCGCCCAGTGCACGTGCGGCCGCAGGCTGCGCCCCGCCATGCTGCGCGCTCGCTGCGCGCTCCCTGCGCGCTCCGGACCGGGGGGTCCCGCGCGCCTGCGCGGGCCGCCGCCTGCGGGATTCACAGCGCGCATGCGCGCCGCGCCGAGGCGGGGGGGGGGAGGGCTGTGCGCATGCGCGCGACGCCTGCCGCGGCGGGGGGCTGCGTTCAGGGGATCCCGGCTGCCTTTGGTCCCGGTGTCCCGTGTCCCTGTCCCGGCTCCACGTCCCAGTGTTCCCGTGTTTCCCAGTGTCCCACGACATGTCCCTCTGTGTCCTTCCCGTGACTCTGTTCCCCCCTATGTCCTGCGCCACCCCCACCGTGTCCCTCTATGGCTCTGTGTCCCCCCATCTCCCCGCATCTCCCTGTGACTCCCCCCATGTCCCCAACCTTCCCGTGTCCTCCAGAGTACCCCCCATGTCTCCCTGGGCTCCTTCTATCCCCTCCACATCCCTGTGGCCTCCATGGCGTTTCCGTGTCCCTTTGCCCTCCATGGCGCTGGGCCTCCCGCCATGTCAGTCCCTCCGTGTCCCCACAGGTCCCCGTGTCCCCAGGCCTGTCCCCACACACCCCCGCCCGACCCCGGCCACAGTGGGTGAAAAGGTGGAAAACAGAGGTGGAAAAACGGGCAGGAACGTTCTGCAGGTGCAGGAACACCCAGGGCAGCCTCCCGGCGCCGGAGCCCACGGTTGGTCCGTGCGGAGCCCATATCAGTAACGTCCACACTCTATTCCCATGGGAAGTGGTTGCATTCCCGCGGGAAGCCCCGTTTGGACGGGAGCTGCGCGTGCGGGGCGGGTTGAGCATCCCGGGCGCCGCGTCCCTCATCCCGCGGGCTCCCGTGCACACGGGGGCGGCACGGCCCGCGTCCCGATCCCGGGCACCCGGATCCTGGGCTCATCCCGGGCACACCGGGAGGAAGGGGCGGGGGGGGGCAGCCCCGGGAGCGGCGGCTCCTCCCCTCCCGCAGGGGGCGCTGCAGCCGCCGCCCCCGGCGGAAGCGGAAGCGGCGTCGTCGCCGCGGGCCGGGCAGCCGCCGCCGAGCGCCGTGAGTAGCGGGCTGCGCGGGCCGGGCCGCGGCTCCCGGCGCCTCCCCGGGCGGGGCGCGGGGCAACCGGCGGCTCCGGCCGCCTTTCCCGGCGGGGAGCGCGGGGAGAACGCGCGGCGGGGCTCCCCAGCGTGCAGCTCCCTTCCAGCAGCGCCCTGCCGCCCTCGCTCCTCATTTCGATTTTATTCATTTTTTTGGTCGTTAGAAGGGTAGGCTCCTCTCCTCTCCTCTCCTCTCCTCTCCTCTCCTCTCCTCTCCTCTCCTCTCCTCTCCTCTTTTTTGCGGGGGTATCTGTTAGAGGAGGGTTTTGCGGTTCAATTTGAGCCCTTATTCCCATTTTCCAATTTGGTCTGATCAAATATAGAGAGGCGGTGTTGTTCTCTGTATGGGTGTGAACTCTCCTGGTTTTACAGCGTTGTTTTTGTGTTTGGAATAGCTCGGACAAAAGAGACTTTTGTGTGATAGCGTCAGACAGCATTTTTAATCCATCGTGCCCATCCTCATTTGTAGAAATCGTGTTTGAATTGGGTTTGGTCCATGTTGTCCAGAACCTCCTCCTTTTAGTGCAGTGAGTCTCATCCATCTCATCCCACTTGGCTTCTCCTCAGCAGCATCCTGGATGGTTGTGCAGATTTCCCAGTGTAAGTGAAGGGAAAATCCTTTGCTGGATTGATAGTCCTCCCAGTAAGGTGCCCCGTGGTGGGAGTCCATGTCTTGGTCTCAAATCAGTGATTCGCAGTTGAAGGAGTGAGTTTCCCCTCGTCAGGTTTCCAGGCTGTTTAGTCCAGCCCAGCTGTACAAAACCCGGGTAACTTCAGGATGTTGCAGCCGCTTTAGGGACAGCCTGTTCAGGAGAATAAGGCGTATGCTGGAGATAAAGCAGATTGGAGGATGCTTTCCTGGCTGTATCCCCTTCTTTTTGGTGCTGTGTGGTATTTCTGGAAGAGCCCCAGCCCTGTAGCCATGAGGGTGTCCTATAGTGCTGCGTCTGTCCCAGCTGAGGGATGTGCCACACACCAAAGAACAGCTTGGAGGCTGTTCTTCTTTCAGAGAACATCCTCTGGAGGCAGGGATGGCCCGGGGATGGCTGCAGCCTTTGCAAAGCTGCTCCATCAGCAGCTCCGAGCTCCTCCGCGGGGGCACAGCGAGCCTGTTTGCCTCCCACCTGGAGGGAGGGCTGCGAGCTGGGGGCTGGCAGGGAGAACTGCCATGCAGGCTTGATTTAGCTGCTCGGAAATGGTGCAGATGCTGATTTAGCTGCTCGGAAATGGTGCAGATGCAGCTCGGTTCTTCAGGAGCTGCAGACAAACCCAGCAAATTATGGAATAACAGGAATAAGGACGCATAGTTGCATGATAGTGTACGACCTGCTGGTTGTAAATAAGCTACTGGTGCCGTTTCCTCTCAGCAGCCAACGGTCCCAGGTCTCTCTCAGCCCTAATCATCTTCTGCCTTGAGATCAGGGTGTCAGGGTTCATGCTGTTCACAGCAAGGAAGGAGGAAGTAGTTAAGGAGCTTAACAAATCTTAACTGGGAAGAGCTTTTCTGCTCCACAAACTGAAATGAGGATGAGTAGTACTTGTTTGGGGAAAAGGCAAATGGCATTAAGTCTATGGATCTATGAAGTTCTTAGCTCCATTCTGAAAGGCTGAATCATGGCAGCCTGTTTTTCCCAGCAAACCCTCTTTCCCAGCCCTTTTCTTGCTGCCAGATTTTCCTGCTTGAAAATAATGATTTCCTTGCAGTGCTTTTGCTACTGAACTGTGTTTTGGGAGTCTGAAGAGGGTGTTTGCTGGGCTGCTGAAGGACAGCATTGAACCTCTGCTGTTGTGTTCTCCCAGAAACATGCAACATGGCAGCAGCCATGGAAACTGAACAGCCGGGCCTTGAAATCTTCGAAACTGCAGGTCCTGAGGAGCAGGTGCAGAGAGAGGAGCAGCCCAAACTGGAACCTTTCTATGTGGAGAGGCACTCATGGAGCCAGCTTCGGAAACTGCTCACCGACACGCGCAAGTACCATGGGTACATGATGGCAAAAGCTCCTCACGACTTCACGTTTGTGAAGAAAAATGACCCTGAAGGACCTCATTCAGATAGGATCTACTATCTGGGTAAGCTTCCCGGGGCAGCTTGTGCCGTCATTAAGCGCTTGCTGCAGAGGCTGGTTGGGTTGGACAGCTCCTGAGAACTGGATGTATCTGGTAGATAACTCGACGTAGATTTGATGGTAGGCAGATCAAATGTCTTGATTGCAGTCTGTAATTAAAACTTGCCATGTGATTTCCCATAGAAAATTGTACGTGATTGGGAATGACCCCTCTTAGGCTTGTTAGAACTCATCCCTTCTGGGATGAGCTCAGGTTTCCTAGGTACCCCTTCCTGAGTTATCAGCCTTGATCTTCCCTGGTGCACATCTGACTGTGTCCAGACTCATCTTTTTGTGCCTTGGCAGGAGCTCTTGGAAATATGAAAAACACTGAGGGAAAGGAGGAGGGAACATTCAATCCTCTCTAGAGACACATTGTCTTTGAAACATGAACTGCATTATGCTCTAAGCCAACCAGGGGAATTAGTAGAAAGGCCCTTCTTGATTTTAAAAGCTAATAAAATAGCAGGACTGCTAACATTTAGGAAGATACGGATATTCTCAGGGAAGTGTGTGGTAGGCCTGGCAGTTTGTACTCTGCTCTCTGTGACTTGCATTTCTGTGAAGCAGGGAGTTCCTAGAGCGGTCCCGCAGTGCAGGGACTCAATCCTCCTCCTGGTAGGAAGAGACTGCTGAGATGTTCCTGTGAAACCATTCCTGTGCATCCTTTGAAAGTGTTTGAATTAACAGAGAACTAATCTGATTTTTTCCCCTCTATTTTTGCAACAGCAATGTCTGGGGAGAACAGGGAGAACACGCTCTTCTACTCTGAAATTCCCAAAACCATAAACAAAGCTGCTATCCTGCTGCTTTCCTGGAAGCCTCTTTTGGATCTTTTTCCGGTGGGTCCTCATTTCTTTCTTGCTTCACAGCAGCATGGCATGTGTGTGCACAGGCTTAGTGGTTACACCTGTAAGCCATTGGTAAGGTTAGGAATATATGGTCTTAAACACTTCCATGTTCTCCTGGCACGTAGCAGGCTCTGCAGTCCTCCCAAAAGCAAGCCCAGCTTTCTCCTCACTGTTTGGAGGTACAGCCTTTGTGTGTCTGATTTTTCAGACAGCCTTGCAAATACTAATTTGCATCAAGTCTGGGGATTGCTGTAGGAGCCTGTAGCCTCTGAAAATCACTGTCTGGCACAGAGGAGTGATGAGTCCCCCCTGACGATCTCTCAGTGGTTCCATGACTCATGCTAGAGCAAAGCATCCCTTTCCCATTCCCTGGAATGTGCATCCCCCCTTCACCTCTGCAATTAGCAAGCTTGCGCCTGTCCCACGCTATGTGAGACAGCAGGTTGGAGGAAGCAGGACAAACCCCACGTGGAATTAGGTGTGTTGTTTCCCACATTACTTCCCGAGGCTGTCAGCCAGACCTAAAATTCCTGACTTGCTCTCCTCCCACCAGGCTGGTCACTGCGAGGGCTTGCAAAAGTTAGCAAAGACATTCCTGCTCGTTCTGGAAATAACAGGCCTTTAAATCTGATCTTACTTATACCGACATACCTTGGAAATAATGCTGCCTTTGCTGAGGCAGAAGTGAGTGACAGCCTTGCAGTTGTGTGGGAGCTGATGGGGGCCTGCAGTGACGAGCGCTGCTAGCAGAGGCACGAGCAGGAGGGGGATTCTGGCACAGGAGGGTGTCTGCACAGCCATCTGCTCTGGGAGGCTCGGCATGCAGCGATGCCCTGGCACTCGAGTAGAAGGTGCAGGGGGGAGGTGTTGACTGTGCTTCTCTGCCCGCATTCAGGCTGTCCTGGACTATGGGATGTACTCTCGAGAGGAGGAATTGCTGCGGGAGCGGAAGCGAATCGGCACCGTCGGGATCGCATCGTATGATTACCACCGAGAAAGCGGGACCTTCCTCTTTCAGGCTGGGAGTGGAATTTATCATGTAAAAGATGGAGGCCCTCATGGATTTACTGTGAGTTTACTCATCCCTCATCGTTTTTAACCATAGTATTGCTCTTCTCTGGCTGGAAACTCCTTTCTCTTGGAGCGAAGGCAAAGAGAGTGAGCATCAGTGCCAGCTGCACTGGCATGGCAAGAAGCCTTGGCAAGTGTTTGAAGCAGGGAGGAGAGGAGAAGTCTCCTGAAAGGGCACATTTCTGTGGTTGTGGAAACTCAGAATTCCAAGAGAGCAACTCCTTATTGTAACAAGTGTCCAACATCCATCTCACCCAGGTGTCCTCAGAAAGCAACTTGGGATACAGCCACTTCCACCTGACAGCTCTTGCGTATTCTGCCAATCCATATTTAAGGGGTGTGTTTTTTAAGGATATGCCAGGCTTCTCTAGGCAAGCTGCCTTCTGGATTGTCGCTAGTCCTTAGCACCTGGTGGGATCTATGGAGTTATACTACAAGCATTACTTACCCAACAAAAAATCCATGGTGTTTTTTTCTGTGTTTAAATTGGGTAAGTTCCTCTCCTATAAACCTGTTCATTTGAGATTCGTCTCTTGTCAATCTGTACACTTTAAGTTGATGTGCCCACCACTATGGTCTTAAAAGACCTTCTGAGAATCCAGTTCAGCCTCTGTAAGTGTCTGTGCTTTATCATTGCTTAATTGTTCTTTTCTTTTTGGTTGTCTTTCAAACAGCAACAGCCCTTAAGACCTATTCTGGTGGAGACCAGTTGTCCAAACATCCGGATGGATCCCAAGCTCTGTCCAGCTGATCCAAATTGGATTGCATTTATCCATAGTAATGACATCTGGATATCTAATATAGAAACCAGAGAAGAAAGGAGGCTAACGTTTGTGCATAATGGTAATGTATCCTGAATTAAAATCTGTATTTTTAATCTCTTCTGCTCCTCCTCTGCATTTGCTGTAGGTAGACTGAATTCTGCAGTGGCTCTAGGGGTTCTTCTGAAATTTGGGGGTATGTCCAATATTTATTCCGTCTTTGTTTGATCAGGATTGTCATGTTCCTTTTCCTGTGTTCCTGTGTTCCTTTTTTTTTCTTTTTTTTAATCCTTCCTACTGCAAATATTGTGGGATGATTCTTTTCCCTGTGTTATGGAATCTGACAGAATGAGTTACTTGTTGAATACATATAGAAGGCTCTTCTGAAACACAGCATGTTCCTTTTCACTGGAACGGCGCCTTTTGTGTGGAAGAGCTGTGGGTGGAACAGAGCTGGAGGAGAGTTCCTGCCAGTTATGTCAGGCTCCACGGCCTTTAGGAAATGATACAGATAATTGCTGAATAGCACTGTAGCTTCTGTAGGTCCCTCACATTCAGTTAGTAACCTAGACGTTCCCTTCTTATTCCTCTCTAACTGTTTCCTTGGAAGAAGGAAAATGGGAAGTTGTGTTTAAAACATGTTCTAATAATCCATCACATTTTGTATTTAAATCATACTTCTTTTATTTAAACTATATAATTAATTTTCAATTAAAGTTTTCTACGCTTTATAATAATGCTTAAGTTTATTTAAATGTTAGATATTAAAATATTATATAAGTACATTAAAAATAAACTGTAGCAATGACTCCTTCTCAGATGATAATTATTTATGGAGTGCTGCTAAGTTACCTCCAGGGTAACAGGAAAAATATTGAAGCCCTATGGATATGTCATCATGTTGAGATGTTATGTAAGTCTGTTACTTTCAGTTTGTACAGTTGATAAAATGTTGATATCTTCATTTTTCTGAATGTCTGTTTTCATTTTTAGTTATTCAGAAAGTTTTGGGTTTTTTTCCCCCCTATCTTTAATACTTTTTTGAAGTTGTCGTTCCCATTCACTGAGCTCAGGTAGAGAGAATATTTCCTTTCTTGGATTAGTGCATGGAAAATAGAGAGACTAAGTGGGTAGGAGTAAAAAGGAAGGCTGGCTTTCCTCTTCCTCCCTTCTATGTGAGAGAGGATAAATCCTCAAATAAATCAACAGCAGGGTGGAAGCAGAAAGCAAACTTGCTGAGAAGTCAGATTCATCATCACACAGTTGTTCCCTGGGGGCTGAACTTGGGGTTGGGTCTGGAGTGCAGGGCTAACTGGTACCTTTGTGTCTTGTTTAGAGTTGGCCAATGTGGAGGAGGATCCCAGATCTGCTGGTGTGGCTACGTTTGTGCTGCAGGAGGAGTTTGACAGATACACTGGCTACTGGTGGAGCCCAAGGGCACAGCCAGGTAAGCGGTCCGGAGCCAGCGTGTCTGGCAGGCACAAGCAGCAGCCCCTATGATCTGTTGTCCAGAGCAGAATTACTTCTTCTGTTGCTCATCCTCATGCAAGATAGGAACCTTATGCTTGTGACTCCTCCTGAACTGTCTGAAGTGATGGATGTGTTAGAGTGGCCTTCCGGGCACCCTACCCGCGAAGGAGACTTTCCTTCTCTCATTGATAGTAGGAATAGTAGGTGTCTCAAGGTATTTTGCTAAATGAAACACGAGTCACACACTATAAGTTTTCATCCGCTATGTGCTTGTGCTCCTGGGAGAGTCTGAGTGCCTGCAATAGCCAAACATTAGAGCTGTTCTGACCAGGAGATATTAATTCATTTACTGCGGGACAAAATGGACTTCAGACGGTTCAATATGAATCATAGGAAGAAGCTGCTTTATTGCAGATAACTAGCCCTTATATACAATTATTCTATCCCTACACGCGGGCACGCACTCCTTGATAGGGCAATTCTTTGATTCCAAGGGCAGCACGCATTCCTGCTTGGTTGTCGGTTGGTCAGTTCATATCTTGGTGCTCCCCCCTTGCATCCCTCTCTGCTTGGCTCGCTTCCTCAAATGGACTTCTTGTTTTTCTCTCCTCAAGGCCACCTTAGAGACAGAGCTGTGTGCTTTGTTAAACATGCCTCTTTTAAATGTGCTTTGTTAAACGCGTGTCTTTTAAATGTGTTGTTAAATGAGTTGAGTGCTCTGTTAACCTTCTTGTATGGCTGGTTCAGTGTACCCACTCAGAGTTTCTTCTAAGTGCCTTTCTACAATTTACAGCACTGAATGGGAGCAAAATTCTTCAAATTCTATATGAAGAAAATGATGAGTCAGAAGTGGAAATTATTCACGTCACATCGCCCATGTTGGAGACGAGAAGAACAGATTCCTTTCGGTACCCCAAAACCGGTGAGACCCTGACGCTCTTGAAAATTTGTTTCTGGGAAACACGTGTATTCTGTTACATGTGCCTTACAGCAGTCTCTATCTTAGCCTACAGCTGAGAGTTGATGAAGGAGAATTGTATGTCCTTGAATTGGTATCCAGAGGGAGCACATGTGTTTGGGAAAACTGCTGCTGTGGAGGTCAGGCAGTCACTGGTGGCTGTGCTGCATTTTCCAGCCCTGTGGTCAGGGAGAGCTCTTAGTGTGTCCCTCAGGAGCTGACCAACTGCTGCCTCAGAGCCTGGCACAGAGAAGTGGTTCTCATTGCAACCTTATGTCTTTGAGGAATTAGGTGCAGAGTGACGCCCTTTTTCATTCTTGGAGTGTTTTTGTGGCTGCTGGTAGTGCTTTGTAGTTTGGGTTCTGGAAGACTCTTGATCCCCATGATTGCTACTGGTACTTTAAACTGCAAGCACTGCATAGCTTTTAGCATATAAGGAAGGCCCACAGTTGTGATGTTTTCGAGCACAAACCTCACTAGTCACAGCAACAGACTTTAAAATGCAGAAAGAAATGATCTTTCTTTGCAGAATGACTTGCTGCCATTTTTGAAGTTGTGTATGAGCACTGAATCACGTTTTATGTTCTACTTCAAAAAATAGCACCCAGACAATAAACCAAAGCTTACTTTGCTATCCTGATGTCCCTTTAGTATTTACTTCCAGCTAGTGCATTGCATCCTCTGTTTGTGGGAGAGAAGTGTGTTTTTGGCTGTGGTGACTCTTGGTCAGATCCGTTTACATCCACCGAGTCTACTTTGTGTTTGCAGGGGTTTTATTTTCTTGCCTGGTTCTGTTCTCTCACACCCACGCAAGTGGGCTATGGGGTCAAAGACCGTTCTGCTATTTGCTTTTTCCAGTTCTGTATGAATAACACCACAATGATCCCCTGCTCGAGTTTGCCCTCTTGGAAGCAAACAATTGGTGTCTGACTGTTAACTTCTGTTTTATAGGTACAGCGAATCCAAAGGTCACTTTCAAGATATCTGAAGTGACAATCAACGCAGAAGGAAGAGTAAGTCCTCTGTTAAGTTTGTTTCCTAAATCACTTAAACATCCCTCACTCTTTTTTTTTATTTCTTTGATAAAATTCTTCTCCCACTTCAGTACAAACCAACTTTCTTGCATGCGTCAGCTGAATAGCTTTTCTGTGGGTAGTGCTGTGAACACTTGGGTCGTTCCCATGCAGATAGTTCGTGTCTGTGCATATAGCAGTGCTTAAGGCTGTTCTTTTCCACCTCCCAGAGTGGCTTATGAGCTTGCCTGCAGAGCACAGTATTTTAGGAGTGCGTGGTTAGGCTTTTTTTCTGTGACAGACCTCTTGGTTGACTGCAAATACTTGAAGAATTTTCATTGCAAAGAGAATGAGATATGAGCATGCATAAAAAGTTAACAACCCTGTTGGTAACTGGCTGTCATACGGGATGTTTTTATCTGCAGCAGTAGAACTTCTTTTACTAAATAGCTGGGTGCAGGTCACCTCCTCTTTATATATTTACATGGGGAAACTGAGTGTTCATGTGATTTGTCCAAAACCAGTCATGGATCTCTGGAGAGACTCCAGATTTGTTAAGTCCCTCCTTACCTGTGCTGGTAATGTGCAATCTGCTGCTATTCTTGTGTCTGGCAATAGATGGGGTTGAAGCCCCTGTGCTGAAAGGCCGAACAATCTAAATTCATTGAGCTGTACACAAGAAGTCTTCTGTGCCTGACTTCTCACTGTGCATGAAAACTGATTGTGGGGGTTCATCTCAGTGTCACTGAATTGCTGCTTTGTTAACAGATTGCAGGTGTTGTGGACAAAGAGCTAGTTCAGCCGTTCGAGATCCTCTTTGAAGGAGTAGAGTACATTGCTAGAGCTGGGTGGACGCCAGAAGGAAAATAGTGCGTATGTTAATCCTGTCTCTGCTTAGAGGGTTTGGGGCAAAACAGTTAGAAGCCAGATTGTGGTGGCTCTGCCTTCTCTTTGAGCTTAAGCCCGCTTTCATTTTTTCATTGCTGCCAACTTGTTTGTGCAAAGGGGCCAGTTTTTCCAAAACCGAAACAGAGTCCTCCTTGTCTTTCTCTGGTACCCGGCCCTACTGCTCTGGTTTTGGGCACTCACAGCCTTTGTTGTATGTGTCCTCTCAACATCCCTGTGAGAGAGAGTGCAGTGCTATTATCCCCATTTTACAGATGGGGAACTGCAGCCCAGAGAGGCTAAGTGACTTGCCATGGTCACACAGGAAGGCTGTGACTGAGGAGAGAAATGAGCCCAGGTCCCCCAGGCCCTAGGCTAGCACCCTAACCACTGGACCGTCCTTGCTGACCAGACTTACTGATCAGAAAACCTGCTGTAAGTGCTACTTACATTTGCATGTCGTTTTTAACACTGTAGATGATGTAGTTCAGTGTTTCTAACTCATCAGAAGCGGTTCCAGAATTGCACTTTTCCAGTTCTTGAGGCTAAAATTGATTTTTCACTATTTTTTCCCCCTAGATGTTGAAGAAATGGACACATTTGTTTCATTGTCTTGCTTTTTGCAGGATAATTATTAGAGCTATTTGTAAAGTTATCCAAAGAGGCAAGGTCTACAGCCAGGTCATTTAGGTGCCAGTATTATTCTCTGCCAGGTATATATTTAAAACATTAGTATTTCAAAAGTATTCAGAAATTTCAGGATTTTTTTTCTGCTTCATTATTGCCTCTGATTTTTTTTTTCTTCTCTTTCTCCCCTAAAGCACAATAGAAAGCTGGGGAAATAGAACATTTGAATCCGCAGTGCTTACACAGTATTGTGAAATAGGCTCTTTTGCTATGGAGCAAACTTGTTTTCATGGGTGAGATTTGACATGTGGCTTCGTGCTTAATCTGAAATTGAATTCTTTTGACTCCTTCAAACTGAATGCTAATGTGTGTGTCTCGATTTTCTCATGCATCCAATCCTCATGGCTGCATGTGGTTTTCTGTAATATCTGTCTCCCTCAACAGCATCTGGTCCATCTTACTGGATCGCTCCCAAACACGACTTCAGATAGTCTTGATCCCTCCTGCATTATTCATCCCTATAGAAGATGATGCAATGGAAAGACAGAAGCTTATTGATGCTGTACCAGATTCTGTTACACCTTTCATTATTTATGAAGAAACAACAGACATCTGGATAAATGTAAGAATTTCAATTTCAACCTTCTTTAACAGTTTGTTCTTCAAGACCCTATTTGTAAGCATTTGAGTGACGTCAGGATTACTGTGCTGCCTAGGGTAACAGTCCCATTGTGTAAGATTCTGTGCGTATTCCCCATTTAAAATAAAATGCTCCCTAGCATAAAGACCCCACAGTAAGTATAGATCAAACAGATTTGGGGAGTGGAAGCAGGACAACTCAACTGAGGCTCCAGTGGTCAGCCAGAGGTAGGAGCAGGAGCCAGGGCTCTGGTGCTCAGGACAGCCCCTTGCCCCTGGTGTCACCCATCCACCTTCCTGGTGCGATTGTTCATGAACAGATTTCCACCAGCTGAAGTATCTTCACCTCACAAAGAGGTGTCTAGAGGTGGTTGGGTAAGCAAGTCCTGAAAGGCTTTTAACGGTCACTGAAAGCCATCCTTGACCGTGCTCAGGCTGGGTCTGTGCCACGTGAGAGCAGATGTCAGTGTGCTGGGCTAACACCATGTAAACGGGTGGTGCTGGGTGCTGCAAGTGGAGATTGATGTCTCTAAAACAGCATCCCATGGGAGGTGTGCCAAGATGCAGGCCTGAGAACATCAACCAGGTGAGAGGCAGAGCTTTCAGCAGGGAGCATTTGCACAAAGCCTCCCAGTGAACATGTGCTCTCCACAGCACTGTGCTATATCTACTACCTGGAGCTGGTTTTTTTCCTGGCAGTTCATACTGTGCAGGTGAACGTTTCTGAGTACCCCCAAAGATTGTCCCTTGAAGCAGGAGTTGCATCTTCTTTGCTGGAGAGATGGCACCTGCTTACCTTTCTTTAAATGCCTCTTTCTGTGTGGGCTTTTACACAGCGCTGGACAGAGGAGGGCGCTGAATCCTGCCTTCCCTGGATGGCTCTCATGTTATATCTATTAAGCTGGACCCACATCTAAGCAGAGAAGGCAAGGGCAGAAAAACCTGCCTGGTTGTTTTTGTGGACAGAATTGTTCCTATAGAGTTAGACTAGTAAAGAGGCGGGAGTTGGGCAGCACATGAGGCTGTTTGCAGGCAGCTGCGGGCTCACAAGGACAATCAATCCCAGTAAGGGACAATCCTTGTGCCCTGCTAGGCTGAGCTCCGTGTTGTTGGTGTTGAGCAGCAAGAGGAACTTGCTTTGCATGACTTCAGTGCCAGGGTCCTGCTGATGATCATGAACCCCTGCGCTGTCTCCACAGATCCATGATATATTCCATGTTTTCCCTCAAGCCCATGAAGATGAGGTGGAGTTCATTTTTGCCTCGGAGTGCAAGACAGGATTCCGGCACCTCTACAAAATCACCTCAGTTTTGAAGGAGAGCAAGTATAAACGGTCGTGTGGAGGCCTCCCTGCTCCAAGTAACTGAAATTTTTCTCTTGCTTTAATTTAAGCAGGCATTGCCTGCTGACTAGTGAGGAAATAAGTGTCTTTCTAGGCGGCAGGAATCAGTCTCATTGGCAACTCCTGCTCCTGTTCACGAAAGCACTTCATTGTACAGTTATTCCCTTTGGATATATACAGGACTGATTTTGTATCCAACGTGCTTCAGTTTTAACCCAAATTTTTCTTCATTGACTAAAGGGAGAAGTTTCAAAAGATGAAAAATGAGCTCATGTGAAATTGTGAAATACACTTACATGTTTTTTTTTGCCTTGCTGAGGATGGGGTTGTTTGTGTGTTGACTTTCCTGGAAGTTAATCATTATAGTAATAGCGTGACTATCTGATGTTCTGGGTCACACGTATCTAATGGACATGCATTGATTCAAGACTTGACATTGCAAGCAAAGCCAGCAGAGTCTCTGTCAGCCTTTACAGGCTGATTGTAGAAGAGAGGTTAACAGAGAGCATACTTTGACCATGTTGGAAAAAGGTGTATAAAGATCCTTCACCTTTAAAATGAACACGTGTGCTTGCCAGAAACTACGATATGACAGCTATGCAGAGAATGCCTCTCTGCTCTTAAAACAATCATGATATTGCTGTATAGACAGGGATGTTATTAGGAGAAAATTACTGGCAGCTGTTGCAAGTGGAAATGCAGGAGGAGTTGATTCTAGGAAAAATGCAAGACCTCGCACTTCCAAGCTGCGGTCGAAGTTTGGCCTCAGCTATGCAATATAGCTGTGTGCAGAGCTCCTGGAGTGGGTTCCACACAGCATGGATTCTTTCATTTACAGTTTCATGCTGTGATCCTTAATTTACTTGCTGTGCATGGAAGGCACTTGCTGAGCACTCGCACAGAAAAAAAAAAACATGTAGTTTTACTAGAAGTCCTAGTTTTATCCAAGGTTTCTTTTTTCTTCACAGAAAACATTATATCTAAAGTGATTTGGTTTCCTTGAATGCATCCAAATTCTTTATCTCACAGAGAACATTCTGAGGGAAATGAATCCATCTTCCAAAAGAGAGCTGTTTGCTACCTTCATATCAAAATTCTCCAATTTTGGCACCTGAGACCTTTTTTCATATTTTTCGGTATAAAGCTTCTTTTTATGTGTGTGTGAAAAAAAATTCTTTTGAATAAGAATAACAGCAACAACAACAAAAATACCTCAAAAAAACCCCAAATGCTGCCCAGGTCTCAGGTTGAGAGCATCTCAGAATCCTTTGACATACGTTTCATAGCACGTTACCAACTCTGAAATGCTCTTTGCAGCTGTGGAACAGCATTTGTCTGACATGGTGGCAGACATGTGGATCTTGCACAAAGCCAGGCTGCTCTTTGATCAAGCCTGCCAAAAAAGCTTGGAAGGAAGAAGTATGATTGTGACCATTTCTTGTGATTAAAATGTAAAATCTTTGCTTTTTTGTTGGGTATTTTCAGGTGACTTCAAATGCCCTATCAAAGAGGAGATGGCGATTACCAGTGGGGAATGGGAAGTGCTTGGCAGACATGGGTCCAACGTAAGTCTCTGCTCTTGCTGCGTGGACATCCTCAAAGCCACCCGCTCATGCTGAAGGACAGCACTGCAGGGAGATGTCTCTAGGGCCCCACAAATCAGTACGTGTTGTATTAGCAAGGCACTGCTCCCTGAGAAGAGTGGGCTCTACCACTCTGTTATGTTGGCTTTGAACACATGAATCCTGTGTTTTGGGGTCTTAGTCTGCTTTTATCCTCCTCTGACTCTGATTTACCACCCTGGCCTGGAGACTATAGTTTTAGCAGCGCAGGAAAGCGGTTTGGGCAACAATAGCTGCTTTCTTTTCCTGAGTGTTCTTTAATGATAAGCAAAGAGTTTTCTCCACTAAATTTAAGGCTTAAAGAGGAGGAAGTAAAAAACTGAGAGGCAGCAGTGAGGATGTTTCATGTCTTCCTTGAGCGACAAGGTGTCATGATAGTGAGAGCTGCTATCCTGAACCAAGTGATTCACTAAATTCAAGTGATGAACATAAATCTGTTAGGCCTGCCTCTCTTTAGCCAGAATACACAATGGTTGGATACTGTGTAGCTTGTGCAAGGTGTTTGTTCTGCAAGAGAAGACGTGTTCTCCCAAACTGCTGCCCTTCCAGTGCTGAGCTTGATGAATCCTTAAAAAGGAATGTGGCAGCAATTCGAGGAGACCTTCTTGACTGTCATTTAGACTTCATAGAAGACTTTAAGTTCTTCCTGAATGGATATTGGAACAGGGTTTAGAGGGTGAGATGTGCAAGTTCGCCTGTGTTTGAAATCTGCCAGCTGCTCAAAAAGAAGGAATATTTAACTTAGCAGTACCAGTCAGCTGCTGCCATGACTTTTTCCTGGGTTGGTTCAGGTTGTATGTGTCTTGGTGATTTGGGAAAGGGTCTGAAGCATGAGGAAATGACAAAGAATCATTTAGCATAGCAAGTAATGAAGACTGGGGAAGGTTAAGGACCTGAGTGAAAAAGCTGGACAAGAAGGTGTCAAGTGCTGCCTCTAAGACTTGCATATTTTTTGCACTTATTGTTGTGGTATGTGTTTGCTTTGTTTTCACAGATCTATGTAGATGAAGTAAAAAAACTGGTATATTTTCAAGGCACAAAGGACTCACCTTTAGAGCATCACTTGTATGTCGTTAATTACGAGCACCCCGGAGAAGTAAAGCGACTAACGGAACGTGGCTACTCCCATGCCTGCTGTGTCAGCCAGGTACGCAGTCTGCCTGTGCCACAGCCTTGTTCTTCCTCAAGGAGCAGATAAGGCTGCATCTATATATAACAAAAGTAGATTTTGCTCTATGTTATGTCCTCCTGTGGCCTGCACAGCAAATTTGTAGCCCCTTCTAGGAGCTGAAGCAATTTGCTGTGGGCTTCACAACAGGTCCCTTTCCAGCTTTGCTGGTGACCTGCCAGTGTAGCTGCTCCTCTGCTCACCTAGAAAGGCATCTGGGCTGAGGTACCTGTTTAAACCTGGCTCTTTTTGTCTGCAGTGGGCGAAGGGGAGATCATGTGAGGAGAACTGCCTTGGGCAGTAACCTGTTCTGCAGGAACTGCCTTGCCCAGAAGAGGACAGGGTGTGATACAGTCCTCATGCCACTGCTGGTTTGGCAGGTGTATTTTTCAGAACTAGCAGAAAACACTGCTTTGGAGCATTCGTATTTGACTCTAGCTGAGGACTGCAGCTCCCTAGAGTCTATAAGCTGTTATCAACAGATCCCAGGCTTTCCTGGTCCACAAGCACCTCCCGAGAGAACTAAATGCAGAAAGAAATAATCATTTTTTTCTCATGTCTCTGCACTGAGGAGAGTTCAAGGTAAAATTCTTGTTCTTCCTAGGACTGTGACATGTTCATCAGCAAGTACAGCAATCAGAAGAATCCACACTGTGTGTCACTTTACCGACTGACAGGATCTGAAGATGATGCAACTCATAGGACAAAGGAATTTTGGGCTACCATTTTAGATTCAGCAGGTAACAGCACAGATAAGGAACTGGAGAAGGGCAGCTGGGCTCACAGGCTGAAAAATATCCAGAATATGCTTGTTTAGCCTTTATGTTCTGGATGACTTGGCTCACCTGGAAACTCAGGTTTGCGTGAGGAGTCCTGGGAAGTGCAGGAAGGAGAAAGAGCACCTAGATTTGCATTCATGTTTATGCTGATAGGTGGCAGGAGGCTGCAAGTGACCCTTTCTTTTATGAGTTTGGTCAAATGTATCAGCACTGAATAAGCAACAACACATCCATCCTATGTAAGCATTGCTCCAAAAATAAATATATTTTTAGGGCAGAGAAATTTCATGCTTGAGGAAGAATTTCCTGCTAGTTTGATAGCTAAGCTTCTAACTTCTTAAATTGATGCGCTTCTATTTTTATTTATTTTTATTTTTTATTATTTTTTAATTTTTTATTATCTTTTAATCTTTAATTTTTATTTTTTAAAATTTTTCTTATTTTTATTTCTTGGGCTTTTATTTTTCCATCATGTTTCATCTTCTAGTCTTTCCTTGTATTTATGCAGCTAGGGAAGGATGGGGCCCCTGTCCAGGCTCTGCCAGTGAAGGACCAATCACCGCTGTTAGGATTAGACTAGAGTTGAGGACAGGAGGGGATAGAACTGGGAGATTTCCCCTAGGACCAAGGCATTCCCAGTCTCAGCCTGGTCCTGGCCACATCCCTTGGGAAGCATGGAGGAGCTGTGTTACTGGGGATGCATTTAGGGCAGAGATGGGGCACAAACAAGCAGAGTTGCCTTAAGCCTCCTGTCCCTGTTAAACTGGGCTCTTTGCTTCCTCCTGCGACAGGGCCCCTTCCTGATTACATCCCCCCAGAAGTGTTCTCCTTCGAGAGCTCCTCGGGCTTTACACTCTACGGGATGATGTACAAGCCTCACAATCTGCAGCCCAGAAAGAAGTACCCCACTGTGCTCTTCATCTACGGAGGGCCCCAGGTGAGTGCACACATCTGTGAGCAGCAGCAGAGGGTGGTCTCTGTTGTGTCGCTCTCAGCGCTCCTGTTTGTGCAGGACATCTGCAGAGGAGCGTTCAGTTCAGCTCTTCATATCCGTGACACAAAATGACCCATTAATGGGAGGGAGAGCAGCTGGTTTCTTAGCAAACCACAAGTGGAGGGAGGGAATTGCATAGCAGAGAGGAGAGACTTGAAAACTTTGTTACAAACACGTGTAAAACATTTAAAGGAAAGTAAATATACATAGATGGGATTGACGAATGACCTCTGGGTTCCATTTACATACATGATTGTGTCACTGCTCCTCTTGTATTCCAGGTGCAGCTGGTGAACAATCGGTTTAAGGGAATCAAGTATTTCCGTTTGAACACCCTGGCCTCCTTGGGCTACGTTGTTGTTGTCATTGACAACCGGGGGTCCTGCCACCGAGGACTTAAGTTTGAAGGAGCCTTTAAATACAAAATGGTAAGCAGCTCTGTGTCTGGTTTATGATTTTTCAGCCAGAGGCAGGCATGAGTCTCCCAGCCTTGTTGGACAGTCTGAGCTAAAGTACTGATTTGCCACAGTGATTTGGCACACGTGTGTGCCAGATGTGTGACACCAGCTAGGTTTGGGAGATGAGCTGCACATAGTTGAGCAGCGTGCATTTGAAGGAGGAAAGACACTTAATGGCAGAAGGTTATAATAATATCAATGCTTGGGGTTGCAAACCACCTCCAGGCGTGTCTAGCACAAGACAAGTGGGTTCATAAGGAGCTCTCTGACTCTCACCAGAGCCGCTTTCCTGCTCACACAAAGCAGGATAGTTTCAGCAGCAGCAGGAGTTTAACATTAGAGTAGTTCCTGAGAGGGTGGATGTTTTGGGCCTTACATGCTGACGAGGGAGGCCTGTGCCAGGCTGCACTCGATTTGTGATGAAGGTCTGCACGTTGGGAAAGGCACTCTGATGCACAGAGCTAGAACTCAGCCTAGCTCTTGTGCAGGAGCTTCCCTTAACCTGAGAAATTCTTACTCTTTCTCAAACAAGGAGACAGCTTAAGGGAAAGGTAGTTGAGAGGGATGGGTTAGTGTGAATTTTTTGCATCTTATGGTGGAAAGGGATCATATTTCTGTAACGTGTCAGGCACAGTGGAGAGCTGGTGGGTGATTCAGTGCTGCACAAATAGAAATAATGAAAGTGTTGAACTGGTTACCTTCTGAAATCCAGTGAGCTTAACTTTTTGTCCAAAACTAACAAAAATACTTTTTTCTCTCCCATCTTAGGGACAAATAGAAATTGATGACCAAGTGGAAGGCCTGCAGTATTTAGCATCCCAGTATGACTTCATCGATTTGGACCGAGTTGGCATTCATGGCTGGTCCTACGGAGGCTACCTCTCTCTTATGGCTTTAATGCAGAGGTCAGATATCTTCAGGGTATGTTCCTGCATTGAGTACTTATCGTGGTGATGAAGATAGAGCTTTTCTCAAGTCATGTAACCTCTAAAGGAGTTCCCAGCACAAAGACTTTTAAGCTCACTGTAGACAAGTGAACACGCAGTGTTCTGGCTGTTGCCCTCAAGATTCTTGTGGCTGGGCGAGTTCAGGGGGAAGTTCCTTTCCTAGTGCACATTTTGTGCACAGTATTTCTAATTAGGCTTAAAGATTTTGATAGGCTTTTTGATACTTGACAGAAAACAGATCAGATATGACAAATCTATTTACTCTTTTCTAAAGCTGTTGCTTGCTAATAAGCCACAATGTCCTGAAACCACTTTCAGTGTGTATCACAAGAGCAGTTAAAAGATACTGTGTGACTTTGGCCTGTCTCTTCAGTTCTCTCCACGTGTGTGTTTCTGCCTGCAGCGTGGGGATGAGATGTTCCTCCATAAACCTGTTCTCAGTGTGGTGTTCTGGGAACTGTCACACTGAGAACGTAATTGTACAGCTCTGTAATTTAGCTTTTCAAACGGGGCAATGATAGCAGTTTCTTTGTAGGTCCTCCAGTGGTAGAAGTTCTCAGCACATGTTTGTTGTAGCTGCGTGAGAAGGATGAGGGATTGCTTTTTGTTTCTCTTTTCTCCATTGAAAGCTGTATGGATGGTAAGAGGCCCTCATTAGCACCTTCCAAGCTGGGACAGAGGTGTGGGAAGAAGCGACATCCTCAGATGAGTTGGATTTGTTCTTGTCACCTCCCCTCCCTGTGCTGAGAGCCCTGTTGAACTTGCAGGTTGCCATTGCTGGAGCACCAGTCACGCTGTGGATTTTCTATGACACTGGTTACACGGAGCGCTACATGGGCCACCCGGACCACAACGAGCAGGGCTATTACCTGGGATCCGTGGCCATGCAAGCCGAGAAGTTTCCTTCTGAGTGAGTTGGGTTCTGTCTCTTCCCTCCCACCTTCCTTATCAAGAAGGTTCAAACCTCGCAGACATATTTTTCTCTCTCTGTTCCTGGCAATTAAATGCTGGAGCCATGAATGGTAGTATTTAAAAAAAAAACAAAACAAACAAAAAAAACACCAAAAAACTTAATAGACTTGAATGAACATTTGCATAATTATAGGCCATTCCAAGTAATCCCTTTTTATACTGGTTGTAATTAAAGACTATCTGTTATGCCTAAAGAAATGGCAAACATTGCTGCTGCTGTGTAATTAAACCCTCAGAGCAGCCTTAAGCTTGACAGAAATAGTGGGTCAGGATGCTTTTTGCAAGCTCTAAGGCTGTGTCAGTAGCGTGAGCTTTCTTGCCAAAAAGATGGAAAGCAGCAGAGATTCTGAGCAAACCTTAAACCATTGTATTGTCCAAACTAGGAAATGCTTCTGAGAATAAAGGAGATTGACAGATAAAAGCCTGACCATGATAGGCATATGCAGGAAGAATTGCAGAGAAGAAAAGGAAAGATTTGGAAGCTAATGGCAGGTCCTTACAGAACAACTTATAATACAGTCATTCTTTTAAATGCAAATATTTTAAATGCTGAGGTTATTGAAGCGATGTTTTTGGATCATGAAATGGCTGGCAGTCAGTATTCTGAGGTGCTCTATAGAAATGTGTTTGTTTCTTTTCTCAGACCAAACCGTTTGCTGCTGCTGCATGGATTCTTGGATGAGAATGTTCACTTTGCACACACTAGCGTTTTGCTCAGCTTTTTAGTGAGAGCTGGCAAACCATACGACTTACAGGTAAGGCCACAACTGGGGTGTAAACATGAGGCATCCTGCTTTCACTGGGGGGTCCAGCACTGGAGCCTTTAACACAGTTGTGTTGGAGTGCTTGAACTTCTTGATAAAAACGCTGTATTTAGAAAAATATATTTTAAATAAATAAATAAATAAAAGGGGAAATCTTAGGAGTAAATCAAAATCATTATTAGCTAGATGAGCAGTTCCGAGCTCCCAAGGACAGCCGCAGCTTGGAGGCAGCGTTCGTGTGGTGTAGAGCAGCTTATGCACTTAGTTAAGCCCCGCTGGCTCTGTACCCAGACCTGGGTTCTGGCTGACTTGGTGGCCCTGGACAGGATCTGCCTCTGTTCTGCCAGGCTGATTCTTCCTCTTTGCATCCCAGCTGGATGGAAGGGTGCAATGGGTTGTCTCTGGGCTCAGGCAGTGGAGTAGAGGGTTTATTAGCTCAAAACTGACCTCATGCAGTGAGATCACATGAGTGTTTGAACTGGTTGGACTGTTTGGAGAGGCTTAAATGTTGCAGCTTGTAACTTCCATGGATGCTCACCACTTTATTTTATATTTTAGATCTACCCTCAGGAGAGACACAGTATAAGGGTCCCCGAGTCGGGCGAGCACTACGAACTCCACCTGCTGTATTACCTGCAAGAGAATCTGGGCTCTCACATTGCTGCCCTGAAGGCAATGTGAGCGGCCGCTGCGGACTCTTAACCGAGCGCGGGGAAACGGGGAGCTGGAGAAAACAGGACGGGACGTTGCATTTTGGTGCCTGCCACATGTACACACATGTACACATACACACACACGGAAACACTTCTTTTTTAAAGTAAATTTGGTGCCATACAGGAAATTAAAGTACAGTAACCTAATAACTTAAAAGCTTAAAATGTAAATAAAATCAAATGTCTGTGGTATAATGCAGTACCATGGGTGTTCTCTTGCGGGGAGCTGGAACTTAAAGCAACATGCTTGCACAGCACCAGAGCTTCACTTTTCAAAAGCATTCTGACCTGTCTGATGTATTTTTACAGTGTGTTCCTGATACCTTACTACATAATAATACCAGATGACTTTACTCGCTACATAACAAGAATTTACCTGAATGGTTACAACGTATATTACATTTTAAATGCTATCATATAGCTTTTATGCTTCTTTAAAGGGATGTGGCTGGCTTCTTGGAAGCTGGTCACAAGATAGACACCTAACCTTTCTAGATCTTGATTGGTTTTTTATGAAAAAAACACTTTTAAACTGCCTCCTAAAGAATTTAAATTTTAGATTGATTCAGTTGATGACAGGTTTTTGGTTTTTTGTGTTCTCCCCAGGTTAATTCATACTACTTTCTTTTTGATAGCTTTATATCCTATCCTGACTGTACTTGAGCAGAACAATCTCTGAGAAGCAGGATAATCAAAGAGCTGAAACGATGTAAATTTTAAAACAAGCGTAAAAGTGCAGCCCGTTTCACACGGACCCCTTTCCCTAGTGTTCATTCTGGAGCTGTTTGTGCAATACTGTTTTCTTACTGTCATGTCAGCATGATATAGGTCTATGCATCCTATTACAATTTTTAAATTAAGCATTTTGAATCAAAGATCTGAGGATTTGATGGAGAGAGACTTTAGCAACACTACATGTGAGGCAACGTGAACTTATTCCATTAAATTTCCTGCCTTGTTCTAGGAACCATTTTGCCCATTCATAGTCTGTAGGCTGCCCTGTTCTGGGTCAGTTCTGGCTGTTTTGTGTAGCATGATTATAATACTGTGTTTGAGCAACTCCTCCTGTACAGCTTAAGGTAACCCTGCTAAGCCTAAGGGACATGCAAGCACAGTCATCTTTTGCTAGTGATGTTTTATCTAAGCAGCAGCCTTGGCTAAAAAGCATCGTAAGTGTGTGAAGTCACTTTTAACTTGCAGCAAGTCATTTAAAATAGGAATCCGCAGCAAATTCTCCCTTGGGACGTGCCTCAGAAACCTAAGAACTTCCTTTTCATTTTGGTGCTAGAGAGCAACAGAGCATGATTTTCTTTTAATCTTTTGAAACACGGGAATCGCTCTCAGTGTTTAAGCTCTCAGTACTCGGCGAGTTGAAGCCTTAGATTTTCCTCGCTTTTATGTTGTTCAGCTTGACCCTGGAAGTCTGGGATTTCACCTGCTCCGGCCGGACTCTGTCAAACCACATCTTTTCTCAGTGGTGCTGCCGGGCACGTGCCCCAAAGCTGGGGAGCTGGTGCAGTTCTGCAGCTATAAAATGTATAAATCCGGCCTTGGGGTTATGTGAACGGCAGCCGAAGCACCAGGCATCCAGCAAACGCAGCTTGCCCCGACGTGGGGGTGTTTGACTTGGTGTATTTTGGGGTTTTAAGGTTGCAGTGATTTTTAAGAGGATCAGTGATGGCTCACATACGATCAGCAGCATAATAACAAGTTTCCCATTTGGATTTTGCAAAAGGCACGACAGGGAAGGGCTCCCGTGATGTCCTGTCTTCACACATGGGTTAATTGTGTCCGAGGTGAATTCAGCATCCTATGGAGTGTGCTGTGTTATAACAGAGAGACAAGCAGCCTGCTGCTGCCTTTGAAGCAGCCACGAGGCAGTGAGTACAGACAAATATGAGCTGTTACTAAGGAATTCCACTTTGTTCCTTATTTGTTTATGCTGTATTATATATACATATATCTATATCTGTTCATATATACATATATGTATAAAATTACTCAAGGATAGCATCACCTTTTCCGAGGTTGTTTATATTTTGTTCAATATTAAATTAACTTGCTTTGGAGGCGTTTCGTTCTTTTTCTAGAGGTGGCTACCCTTGAATGTAAATGTATATGGTTTTTAAAACAAAACTGATCCTTTTGTTTAAGAAACAACAAAAACGGCCTTCGCCAAACAGTGCTTTTTTGGCAACTGAAGAACTAAATGTTATGCAAGTAATCCCATCTAGATTTTGATTTAGTGCAGAATGTGATGTAAGTGCTGACATATGACTTTTTAATAATGCATCCTTTCTTTGTTTTAAAAATATATCAAAAAGCTATTAAAGTACAAAGTACTGCGAGTACTCTATTTTGCAACATAAATTATGTATTTTTTTTTCCCTTTAAGCATTTTTTTTTCTCCATACAGCAGTCCCTTGCTCGCCCAGCCTGCGGAGGATTTCTGCGGAGGATTTCTGCGGAGGATTTCTCATCGGTGCTTTGCAGTTCGTGCAAAGGGCTCAGGGCAGGGTGCAGAAGATCCCTTGTGCAAGGTCTCATCCAGCCCAAGACTAATTTGCCAGCGCCAAGGGAAGGTAAAGCTCGTAATAACTGAGATTGCTGCCAAAGGAAGTTGAGGTTCTGTTCGGGGATGGAGAAATGCATCCTGCTCCTTGCCTGGTGGAGGGTTGGTCCCATCGTGGACAACAGCGGCCGTGCTCTGCTCCAGAGCTGCCTGCTCCAGAACAAGGATGCACTTTGTGCTCCAGGAGATGGTCCTTTCCCTCCAGAAGAGGCATCCAAACTTTGCAGTTACTCCCTGTCGCTTTAGAGATGGATATTTTAATTCCCTATCTAAAAACACGTATGATGTGGAGCTCTGAGGGATGAGGTAGGGACGTCGGTGAGTGGGGATGCCGGTGGTTTTCACCTTGGTTGTGGCAGCTGGGATTTGTTCTGGCTGTTTCCGAGGGGAGCACGTTATTCAGCCCCATTCCCAGGCGGTTTCCAGCACTTCCCCTCATCGCGCTGTGCTCGGAGCAGTTGGGATTCGCCCCTCACATGGAGCCCAGCCCCAGTCGCAACGCTCGCCCTGTGCCCCCAGAACAGGCTTCATTGGAGGTGTGTGGTGACAAGGCAGCTGTTTTGCAGAGGCAACAATAGCTACAAATACATAAAATAGGCAGCCACCCTGTACAGCCACGGCCAGTGTCCCCGCTCTTCAGGGTGGCCTTTGGAAGGGCAAGAAGGACCCGCTGCTGGTTTTTGCTGGGACGTTCTGCCCCAGAGCAGGTCAGGTGTTTAATTTTGGAGCTGAAGTGCCTGCCCTCTGCGGCCCCAGAACGGCCTGTGTCCCCGCATGGGGTTCTCGGCCTCCCTCCTTCCCCCCTTTCCAGCTACATGGCTTTTAATCATATAAAGTGGAGACATTAGTTCTGCTGCCTCTTAGTACAAAACCTTTCGTTGCAATAAGGATGCGGCTAAATAAATTGAATTAAATGCCTTTTTTTTTTTCCCCCCTGTTCTCAACTGTCCCTCTTCCTGATTTAATGGAGTCTGGGCCTAATCAGATCTCTGTTCCCTCCCTCCTCGTTGGAGAGCTGCAGCGATGGAAGGGACTGGCTGTGTGTAAAGTGCTTGCTGGTGTTCAGGAACAGCAGGTAGATGATGGAAAGAGGGAGATGGAGGGGGATTGCTCGGAATAAGGGCCCGGAGCAGCCCTGGGTAGCCACAAGCTGGAGCTGTCGCACCGGGCTCAGCTCCGCTGCAGAGCTCAGGATCCCCGCGGGACTTGATGCCTTTGGACTCAGTTTTGGCTGCTGCTGACCCAGATCCTTCAGACTGAGCTCACTGCTGGGGCTGAGCCTGCGCTTTGGGTTCCCCTTGGAGCAGCCAGGCTTGGAGGTGTCCCCAAGTGCCCGGGACCCCAAGCAGTCCTTCCCTGCAGCTCCTGTGCTGGGACTGCGTCCTGCTGGCCGGGCCAGTCCTGCTCCTCAGAGAGAAAACTGCTCTGGGATAGGGCTGTTGTATCCTGGAACAGGTTCCCTCTGTGTGGACCAAGGGATTGACAGAAGAGCGAGAAGGATTTGGAGGTGCTGATGTTGAGATGCTTGTTCCTGCAAAGCGGTGCTGTTTCCTGCTCCTCTTCCTCATCGTTCTGAATGGCACGAAGCTAATGGTGCTGCCGGCTCCCCTGGGTTTCCTGGGATGCTCAGGGTCTCCTCCGAGCCCCGGTGCCGGAGTCCTGGCCCAGCTCATGGCATCGGTCAGACAGAGGTACCACGTTTCAGTTCTTACAACTTGTGCACACGGCGGATCTTGAGAACCGACACAGGAGCATGGCTTTATAGATGGAGTTTGTGCTTTGGGGGCTGCCAAATCACTTTTAGTGCTTAGATTTCGTAATACAACTCCAGGACAGCACTAGGGAAAGATCATTCCTGGAAGACCTTGTAGCCTGGGCAAGGTGAACCCCCTGCCACCTTATGGCATTTAGAAAGAAACTGCAAGTGGTGGCTGAGACTAAATGGCTGCGTTTTGCTCCCCTCCAAAGCATCCTCCGTGCCTTTCAATCTGTCTCTGCCAATAGCTGTATCAATAACAGTCGCTGTTGTGCTCGGGCTCCCGGGAACATACGCGACGTGTCTCCGGGTGCCCTCGGGATCCGTCCCCGCTTCCTTCCCACGCAGCCGCGTGCTGGCCGCGAGCCAGGCTGCTCATTTTGCAGGGAATTGACAATTTCAGTTTTTCTCCTATAGGAAGGAGATCAGCAACAAGCAATAAAGAAATACTCCCTGAAATGAAACTCCGGAGGGAGAAACATTGAGATGCTTTGGTTTGGATTAAGCATTTTTAAATAAAATGCGGTGAAATTAAATTTAGAAACAAAAATGAAGAACCCGCTTGAAAGGCCAAGTCAGGCTTGCCCAGAGGGCTTGCTTGGTTACAGCTCGGTACGTTTGTGGTTTCTGAGCGTCACTGGCTCCAAACACGGCAGGAAAACTAAGGGCAGCGGCTCGTGGTTAACACCGAAACACCCACCGGTAACGGGCGGCCTCCCCTGCAGGAGCAGGAACCTGCAGCAGCACGAGTGCAAGACAAGAGCAAAACGCGGCAGGGCCTGTGAGGCCGTTGTCTCTGCTGCTCCTGCACGGTGGGTCGGGAACAGCGGGAACTCCTGCTGCGAGTCGGGAACAGCAGCCTGTTGGATGCTCGTCTTCGCGCGCGGCATTGGGGCCGAAAGCTCTCGTCCCCTTCGTGAGGACACGGGGTTTTTTCCTGCAGAATGTGACTGCCTGCAAAGCTAAAGTGCGGCGTGATCCTTACGGAAATCCATGTAAAAGCAGCAGGGAAAAAGGCAAGTTATTTTTCCCAGGAAAAGGATGCAAAGATGGGGTTTACTTTTTCCTCAGTGCTCCTGCAGCACCTTCATCTTCCCAGGCCATGCTTTCCTCGGCCGCAAAGCGTTGGGGTTTAAGGGTTCTCGGGAATACCGGGGCAGCCTCTCTCTCTTTACATTTACACTCTGATGGGAATTAATACCCCAGGAGCAGGAGGTGGGGGAGGAAAAGGCTTTGCTTTTGCTTTGCATTTGGCTGCTGCTCCTAATTCCTTCTATTCCCGAAACACTTCATCCCTGCGTGCTGCCAGTGGGGCCGTAACATCCACAGAGGGCCCGGGAGCAAACTCACCCCGTGTTGCCTAACGGAGGCGAGCGGCTCCGTACGGATCTCGGAAGCTGCAGTGGATAAATAGGATGATAAATGTTGGCATTTGCAGACGTGACCGGCTCCTCTCTCGCCACGATTTGCTAGTGCCCAGTAATTAAATAGCTGGAGCCTAATGTGTTTTAAACTAGCGCGGCAGCCCGTAAATCACGGAGGCGACGCTCCGCGCGCGGCGCCGCCGCCAGCAGTTTCCCTGGCGGAGACGCAGCCGGCCCCAGCCCCGCTCCTCTTCCCCCGCGTTCACTTTGAAATGGTTTCATGTTAATGCAGGGGGTTTTGCCTGTGTGTGGGAAGGGCAGGGAAGGGGAGAGGCTCAGGTTGGCCCCGAATCGCCTGAATTTTAAGATCCAGGCAGCCTGTCTAATTTGTAACTATAGGAAACGGCAGTGATGTGGCCAATACGTCATTATTCCCTAAACAGC